CAAAAATAATTGTTAATGGAGAATTAACACAAAACATTCCTATCCAGAAGGGAACGAGACAAAGATGTCTGCTCTCGCCTTAACTATTTATTTTCGGAATAGAGACACTAAACGATATGGTGAGAGATAATATAAATATAACAGGACTCAGAGTCAAAGGTGAACAATTTAAACTTCAAGCTTTTACCTTGTATTTATCCTGGAGGATCCAACAATATCTATATTGCACTTGCTAAATGTGATACAAAACCATGGCTCTCTAGCAGGACTTAAAATAAACTTTAGGAAAACTAAAATCTTGAGAAAAAACTGTAGTAATGAAGAAATAAATAAAATTCAATTGATTTCAAATATTGAGGTAATAAGTAATGTTAAATAGTAATAAGTAAGACAAAATAAGTAAAATTAAATAAATATTACAATTTCCAATAAGAATGTTCATCTATATGAAAAGAACTATAAGGTATTATTAGAAGAAATCAGGAAAGACCTACATAAATGGCATGATCTTCATATATCATTTATGGGTAGCATTGCTACTATAAAAATGAATATTTTTCCACGGTTTTTATTTCTAGCGCAATACATACCTATATTAAAAAACAATACGATTTGTGAGGAATTAGATCAAATAGTAAGAAAATTTATATGGCAATCTAAGAGATCTCATGTTAAATTGAAATTTCTCCGTGACAAGAAAGAAAGAGGAGGACTTGGATTTCCAGACTGGTACCTGTATTATAAAGCTGCAGCGCTGGGATGGATTCGAGAGTGGATATTGTTAGAGGATAAAAGAACATTACAGTCGGAAAGTCATGCAACAAACAAGGGCTGGCATTCCTATGTATGGTATGACAAAGACAAAATACAACAAAACTTCCATAATCATATAATTAGAGGGGCACTAATGAAAATATGAAAAATTAAGGAAAGGTTCTATGTTAAAATACCTATGTGGGTTTCCCCGTTAGAGGCTTTTATAATGCCAACTTTGTTAACGGATAATAAGAAAGCTACTTATGAAATATTGTTAACCAATAACAATGAATTGAAATAATCCAAAACCTTACAAACAATGAATATTAATCTCACAAATTGGGAAAAGTTACAGTTACAATCAAGATTTGCCAAAGATAAAGCAAGGAATTTTGCCAAAACAAAATCGGAACTAGATAAAATATGGCTATCATCCTCAGATAAAATGATTCAAAAGCTATATAATTTTTTGTTGTGGGATGAGATGCAAGATGGAATAATAAAACAATGTATGGTAACTTGGATGAAAGATCTAGGACATAATATAAATTTAGAGGATTGGGCAAAAATTTGGAAATCTGTTAAATTATTAAGAGCTACGTCATACAAGGAAAATATATTTTAAATGTTTTACAGATGGCACTGGACGCCTGATAAAGTATCTAAATTTTATAAGAACGTTTCAGGAAATTGTTGGAGATGTAAAAATAATATTGGAACATACTATCATATATGGTGGAGATGTGAGAAGATTTGTAAATTTTGGAAAAGTATAAAACAATTAATAGAGATTATGGATATAGAACTACAGTTGCTACCAGAAATCTATCTGCTTAATATGATACCAGATGGAATTAAACGTGATGATCTATGCATTATACTATATATCCTTACTATATCTAGAATCCTCGTTGCGAAGTGTTGGAAAACTGATAAAATACCAAATAGAGAAGAGTTAACTATGAAAATCCTTGAAATAAAGGAAATGGACAACGTAAATATGATATTGTCAGGGAAAGATGAAAATGTGTTTCAAAAAAGATGGCAAAAAGTTAACAAATGGCTTGAGAAAAGTGTTTAATGTAAACTCCAAAAAAGTGATTTTTATATACTATGTATATTTTTCTTTTTGTTTTTGTTTGTAATGAAAAAATGATGAATAAACTATAAAAAAGAACACAATCCTCATTATTGTTGTTGTTGTTGTTATAATATATAAAGCTGATTTGGGGTGGCTTCCCTCCTATGGGGTGGCAGGATTCCATTCACTCCCTTAGCCTTTGGTCCATCAGCTGGTACTCAGGACTATTCGCGTGCTATTGGCCGGGTGCTAGGTCTGCTCCTCTTCCCCACCCACTCCCCCTTCACCCACTCTGCCCTGTCAGAATTCCTGGCAAATGGCTTTGTCTCTTTGACGAAGACACTTCTCCTGCTTGCCTCCTGTGTGGGACGTAACTTTTCCCTTAGTGGCTGTTTCTAGGTGTAACGAAATGGCAGTTACCTGTGTTTGTAAGATGGCTGCTGGGCTGTTGTCTGTGGTTGTTAGTTTAAAATGTTCTGTCTTAAGGTTTAATTGAGTTGTAGTTCCAGAGAGGTATTAATCACTGGATTGAATGGGGCTTCCTCATCTGCTTGACTACAGTTCCCAGCTGCCCCAAGGCAGAAAAGGGTGGGAAAACAGGGACTGTCCCAACGTGCGGGGTGGCATCAATACAGACTGCAGCCCATCCAGGGAGGAGGCCATCTTCGTCCTACAGGAGGTTAGGAAAGGCTCCTTCTGCCTGTGCTGACCAGGCTGGCCAGACCACAAGCCAGAGATGTGGGGGAATCCTTCTCTCTTGGGCCAGAGAGAGAGAGGCTAGAGCAGAGAGCCAGAGGCCGGTG